ATTTGTCATGTATAAATAAAGAAGGGTCAAAAACGGAGGGTTCCGAACGTGCTTTCGGAAAACGGCTGGTAGGGAGTGATAAAGTGGATTATATTGATGCCAGAAATGTAAAAAAAATTTTGGGAATTCGGCTGTTTTGATGAATAATAGATTTTTTTTAATTTGTCATGTATAAATAAAGAGGGGTCAAAAACGGAGGGTTCCGGACGTGCTTTCGGAAAACGGCTGGTAGAGAGTGATAAAGTGGATTATATTGATCCCAGAAATGTAAAAAAATTTTGGGTCTTTGGCTGTTTTGACGAATAATAGATTTTTTCAAATTTGTCATGTATAAATAAAGAGGGGTCAAAAACGGAGGGTTCCGGAACACGGCTGGTAGGGAGTGATAAAGTGGATTATATTGATGCCAGAAATGTAAAAAAATTTTGGGTCTTCGGCTGTTTTGATGAATAATAGATTTTTTCAAATTTGTCATGTATAAATAAAGAGGGGTCAAAAACGGAGGGTTCCGGACGTGCTTTCGGAAAACGGCTGGTAGGAAGTGATAAAGTGGATTATATTGATGCCAGAAATGTAAAAAAAATTTGGGTCTTCGGCTGTTTTGACGAATAATAGATTTTTTCAAATTTGTCATGTATAAATAAAGAAGGGTCAAAAACGGAGGGTTCCGGACGTGCTTTCGGAAAACGGCTGGTAGGAAGTGATAAAGTGGATTATATTGATGCCAGAAATGTAAAAAAAATTTGGGTCTTCGGCTGTTTTGACGAATAATAGATTTTTTCAAATTTGTCATGTATAAATAAAGAGGGGTCAAAAACGGAGGGTTCCGGACGTGCTTTCGGAAAACGGCTGGTAGGAAGTGATAAAGTGGATTATACTGATCCCAGAAATGTAAAAAAATTTTGGGTCTTCGGCTGTTTTGACGAATAATAGATTTTTTCAAATTTGTCATGTATAAATAAAGAAGGGTCAAAAACGGAGGGTTCCGAACGTGCTTTCGGAAAACGGCTGGTAGGGAGTGATAAAGTGGATTATATTGATGCCAGAAATGTAAAAAAATTTTGGGAATTCGGCTGTTTTGACGAATAACAGATTTTTTTAATTTGTCATGTATAAATAAAGAGGGGTCAAAACGGAGGGTTCCGGACGCGCTTTCGGAAAACGGCTGGTAGAGAGTGATAAAGTGGATTATATTGATCCCAGAAATGTAAAAAAATTTTGGGTCTTTGGCTGTTTTGACGAATAATAGATTTTTTCAAATTTGTCATGTATAAATAAAGAGGGGTCAAAAACGGAGGGTTCCGGACGTGCTTTCGGAAAACGGCTGGTAGGAAGTGATAAAGTGGATTATATTGATTCCAGAAATGTGAAAAAATTTTGGGTCTTCGGCTGTTTTGATGAATAATAGATTTTTTCAAATTTGTCATGGATAAATAAAGAGGGGTCAAAAACGGAGGGTTCCGGACGTGCTTTCGGAAAACGGCTAGTAGAGAATGATAAACTGGATTATATTGATCTCAGAAATGTAAAAAAAATTTGAGTTTTCGGCTGTTTTGACGAATAATAGATTTTTTCAAATTTGTCATGTATAAATAAAGAGGGGTCAAAAACGGAGGGTTCCGGACGTGCTTTTGGAAAACGGCTGGTAGGGAGTGATAAAGTGGATTATATTGATGCCAGAAATGTAAAAAAATTTTGGGTCTTCGGCTGTTTTGATGAATAATAGATTTTTTCAAATTTGTCATGTATAAATAAAGAGGGGTCAAAAACGGAGGGTTCCGGACGTGCTTTCGGAAAACGGCTGGTAGGAAGTGATAAAGTGGATTATATTGATGCCAGAAATGTGAAAAAATTTGGGTCTTCGGCTGTTTTGACGAATAATAGATTTTTTCAAATTTGTCATGTATAAATAAAGAGGGGTCAAAAACGGAGGGTTCCGGACGCGCTTTCGGAAAACGGCTGGTAGAGAGTGATAAAGTGGATTATATTGATCCCAGAAATGTAAAAAAATTTTGGGTCTTTGGCTGTTTTGACGAATAATAGATTTTTTCAAATTTGTCATGTATAAATAAAGAGGGGTCAAAAACGGAGGGTTCCGGACGTGCTTTCGGAAAACGGCTGGTAGGAAGTGATAAAGTGGATTATATCGATTCCAGAAATGTGAAAAAATTTTGGGTCTTCGGCTGTTTTGATGAATAATAGATTTTTTCAAATTTGTCATGGATAAATAAAGAGGGGTCAAAAACGGAGGGTTCCGGACGTGCTTTCGGAAAACGGCTAGTAGAGAATGATAAACTGGATTATATTGATCTCAGAAATGTAAAAAAAATTGAGTTTTCGGCTGTTTTGACGAATAATAGATTTTTTCAAATTTGTCATGTATAAATAAAGAGGGGTCAAAAACGGAGGGTTCCGGACGTGCTTTTGGAAAACGGCTGGTAGGGAGTGATAAAGTGGATTATATTGATGCCAGAAATGTAAAAAAATTTTGGGTCTTCGGCTGTTTTGATGAATAATAGATTTTTTCAAATTTGTCATGTATAAATAAAGAGGGGTCAAAAACGGAGGGTTCCGGACGTGCTTTCGGAAAACGGCTGGTAGGAAGTGATAAAGTGGATTATATTGATGCCAGAAATGTGAAAAAATTTGGGTCTTCGGCTGTTTTGACGAATAATAGATTTTTTCAAATTTGTCATGTATAAATAAAGAGGGGTCAAAAACGGAGGGTTCCGGACGTGCTTTCGGAAAACCGCTGGTAGGGAGTGATAAAGTGGATTATATTGATGCCAGAAATGTAAAAAAATTTTGCGTCTTCCGCTGTTGTGACGAATAATAGATTTTTTCAAATTTGTCATGTATAAATAAAGAGGGGTCAAAAACGGAGGGTTCCGGACGTGCTTTCGGAAAACCGCTGGTAGGGAGTGATAAAGTGGATTATATTGTTGCGAGAAATGTAAAAAATTTGGGTCTTCGGCTGTTTTGACGAATAATAGATTTTTTCAAATTTGTCATGTATAAATAAAGAAGGGTAAAAAACGGAGGGTTCCGGATGTGCTTTCGGAAAACGGCTGGTAGGAAGTGATAAAGTGAATTATATTGATGCCATAAATGTAAAAAAATTTTGGGTCTTCGGCTGTTTTGACGAATAATAGATTCTTTCAAATTTGTCATGTATAAATAAAGAGGGGTCAAAAACGTAGGGTTCCGGACATGCTTTCGGAAAACGGCTGGTAGGAAGTGATAAAGTGGATTATATTGATCCCAGAAATGTAAAAAAATTTGGGTCTTCGGCTGTTTTGACGAATAATAGATTTTTTCAAATTTGTCATGTATAAATAAAGAGGGGTAAAAAACGGAGGGTTCCGGACGTGCTTTCGGAAAACGGCTGGTAGGGAGTGATAAAGTGGATTATATTGGTGCGAGAAATGTAAAAAAATTTGGGTCTTCGGCTGTTTTGACGAATAATAGATTTTTTCAAATTTGTCATGTATAAATAAAGAGGGGTAAAAAACGGAGGGTTCCGGACGTGCTTTCGGAAAACGGCTGGTAGGGAGTGATAAAGTGGATTATATTGGTGCGAGAAATGTAAAAAAATTTGGGTCTTCGGCTGTTTTGACGAATAATAGATTTTTTCAAATTTGTCATGTATAAATAAAGAGGGGTCAAAAACGGAGGGTTCCGGACGTGCTTTCGGAAAACGGCTGGTAGGGAGTGATAAAGTGGATTATATTGATGCCAGAAATGTAAAAAAAATTTGGGTCTTCGGCTGTTTTGACGAATAATAGATTTTTTCAAATTTGTCATGTATAAATAAAGAAGGGTCAAAAACGGAGGGTTCCGGATGTGCTTTCGGAAAACGGCTGATAGGAAGTGATAAAGTGGATTATATTGATGCCATAAATGTAAAAAAATTTTGGGTCTTCGGCTGTTTTGACGAATAATAGATTTTTTCAAATTTGTCATGTATAAATAAAGAGGGGTCAAAAACGGAGGGTTCCGGACTTGGTTTGGGGAAACGGCTGATATGGTGTGATATTCATGCGAGAAGTGTCCAAAACATTTTGGTCTTGGGCGGTTTTGAAAAGCTATAGATGATTATATAGCTTCTAAAATATTAGGTTTTAAAGGGGGGTCAATTTGCGGTATCTGTGAACGAGATAGCACGTATTTGAACTTAGCGTAAGTAAAATATGCTTTTTCTAATCAATTGACGTGAAAACCGCATTTCTCCAGGTTTATCTTAATGTAATATCAATTTTTTCGCGTTTCTCCTCACTTTGAGGAAGATTTTGGAGGAGGGAGATAAAACTCTTACAGTACATAGAAAGCCCGTAATACAATCGAACTACGTGAAAACCGCATCGATTTATGTTTATTTGGAACCAAATTACGTCAGTAGAAGTGGTAATGGCAAATTTTCGTCACTGCTGCCTTTTTACCGTTTCGATCAGAGCGTGATCGATCGGAACTTCAGCCGCATGTCTGCAAAATAAAAAATTGTCATTTTTTTGACGTTTTTTAGGTTCTTTACATAACAGCCGTGCTGGACAATATTCCTAATTCATTTCCTGCGTAACTCGTGTGAGTATACCTATATAATATATAATAACATCAAATGTCAATTAGACGTTGGGGACTTATATGGGGGCTATCATGACATAAAATGTCTACCTCTAGCATATACCTCTTCGAATTCAGTGCCCTAAATCGAATATTAGTATACAAGTTTCATCTAGTTTGTAACGACTGGCGAATAAAGGAATTTTCACCCTAGAAAAAGACAGATTCCTATATATTTTGCGTACCTATTTAACATCTCAAATTTCTGGATTTTCTCGTCTTTGGCACAGTAATGGCTGTCAAAAATTCATCAAAGTCCGATATAAAAAATAACATCTTAATTTCAGAATTTTTAACGATCTTCCTGTTTCACAAACAGGCGTTTCTCGTAAAAGCAACAGATTTAGTAAAACACGGAAATAGCAACGTTGCATTTGTTTGCCTGTTTGTGCCTGACGCTGTGAAGGGATAACTTCACCTGGCTGGCACCAACTCTCGATCTGATCCCGGCAATTCAACAACTTATATATTATCTAGTAGGCCAAGGACCATATCTTGCTTATATTTAGAGTTCTAGAAGACAATTATTATAGTTAAGTAATCGCTCAGTGGTAAATATCAAAGTCTCCCAAACCGGCGTCTCAGGTTCGAGACTGGCAGAGGTATTACGTAACTTGGAAAGTGACATTATGACAACGTTTTTTTCGTAATAACCCTGCGGAGACGCGAAGTTTTTCTTTCGTATTCATTTTGATTTGTTGTTTATCTTTTTGTACATTTTTTGCCTCGTTGATCAAAACATCATGTTGCACTGTCATGTTAATTTGAAACTGGGATCCTATGGAAAACACTCATTTCCTACTTATTTAAATGCTTCCTCAGGGCACATTCGCATTTTTTTAACAGCGCACCATTTATTACTTGAGTATGCCGAATTTCATGATCTTGTAATCACAGGAGACAGTAAATGAATATTTTACAGGCGTTGCATTCTTCACAAAACATCCAAGCACTCGCATACTTTAAAGGCGTAGATGAAAATTATAAACTTTATATTCGCATGTACCTACTAATAATCTCTCCAATTATATAACAATGTTTTATTGAAATCGTTGTACAACGGAAATGTTTAAACGTAAACTATATGTAACATATTCATATTTGGATTTGGACTTGCAAACACAACTCATGGTATTTAAGTGATCAATTGCTGCCTAAAAAGTTTATTCAAATGTGTGCGTCATAATCCAGTGAAATGTTACAAAACATGTGACAAATTATGATTGTTAAAAGTTTGCTACAGTAGCCTTACAATGAAGCAAAGTTCATATAAGCTTTGGTCGAAAAATATAACACCTTAGTATACATATGTACATCGATAAACATCTTATGTACAGAACGCTTAAATATATTAGATATATTAGTTATTATATTACCTAATAGTAACTCATTTTTAAAACCGTATGTATAACGAATATTGCTATAATGATATTGTTGCTTCAAGAGACCTAGATAAACGAATAAATACCCGGTAATTTTTCAAAAATTTCTATACTATTAGAAACCATTTTCTGGTAAACTATTTTATAGTTGATATAGTCGTCGTTACTTCTTTAAGGTACACTAGAAAAATATGATTATTAATCATTGATATTGTAAATAAAAAAATTAGGATATGTATTTTTCCTCTCTTTTAATTGGTAAAAATATTCTAACGTGACAATTTCAGAGTACAATAATCAATTGTAACAGGTTCGGATATATCGTTTTTCAAATAAACATTCTTGGAAAATATACAGGGTGCTAATAAAGTCTGAGTACAGTGTACCGAACGTTTCAAGTCCTTTTTTGTATAAATTGTAATAACCTTTTCGCCAAGTTCTTACGCTTTGTTGAAATTTAGTAGGTACAATCGTATCGGCGCCAATAAAACATAACGGAAGCATTTAACGGTGTCAAAATCCGGTGATATACATGGCCATGTGGCAATTGTTTCTCTAGTGACTTTAGTTGAATTATCGGCGGTAAATGTCTGTAGGCATTTAATTTCAACAAAACAACTAAATCAGCAATTTCGAAAAAAACGGATTTTTAAAAAAGGCTGTCATCCTGTATATCGAAAACGAAGCATTACCGGTTCTATGATTTAATAAACTTTTTTCTTAGAATCCCCCAAGAAAGCATTCCATAGATCAACACACTGTATATTTAGGTACCAAAATTTCCAAAATTATTTGTTTAATATGTTTCATAGGAATATTGGTCTTCTATGACTTGCGAATCGTAATATGTATGATATATATACCATTCAATAAATTAAAGACACTTGTGGTCCCCTAAGATTTAACGATATTTTTGATCATCATAAAGGATATGATCTATAAATAAAATTATTGCCTGTATTTATAGCCTAAACATCATGGTTTTACATAGCAACTAAACATTTTCCCTCATACAGTATTTTACCACAAATATCATACAATTCCACCATCATATTGCGTATAAATCTATAATCTGGGTGTTCAATAATAATATCACAATAATTGATGAGTTAATATATTAAAAAGCTTAATGTAACTTTTAAAACTTATCCTGAGCTTTTTATGCTGCTAGAACTGTTTCCTTAGCCAAATGAAACCACTTGTGTAGAAATTACCCTCTACTGACGTTTCGGTCACCACGTTGACCTTTTTACAGTGTTGCCATTTGCCATATGCTCGAATATTAGAGGTAACATACTGTATAGTATATTTTAACAACAGCCATCAAGTTTTATATACAAAAGATCACATCAGTTAGTCGAAATAACGCTTATATACTATACGTTAAGTACTTTCAAAAAGTCTGTAGAGGTCTGAAAATTCCGGTGTATCCTGTAAGTCTAGCTCGTAAGGCCGGTAGGAGTAAAGCGCATACTGTGACGTCATTGAGAAGGTTTGCACATTCGCACAAGAGGATGTACATTTTGTCGCCTTTAGGACTTAGGGACTTGTGAAGGGATATCCGCCTTAGGCCAGCCGCTGAAGGGAGGTACCTGTAGATCATCCTTGCACCTGCAAACAGAAGTAGTCATGATTAAGAACCATATTATAATGTAATTAATATACCCAAGAAGCTTTTGAGTATAAAATTTCTTGAACATCATATTGGCCGGCAGAACGTGGTAACGGCAGAACCCGTATTTTATCGAATTTTATTACTGAGTGTGTGTGAACTTAGAAGACATTATTATAAACGTAAAATAGAGTCAGACTCTAATGGCTCTACTATGTGGTAGATATAAATATTTTCTATGAAATAATGTATAGTTTTAATGATGTATGTACTGAGAATCGGATAAAATTTGTAACTCCACCGCCCCACATAAATGCATTACCGCGACTCAAAGGGGAGCAAAATCTAGGATAAAGAGTCAGCTGCTACGCGTGGAAACGCTTATACGTAAGTAAGTATAATTATATACTCATGTTTCTTTTCTTTATATTTACGGCACAGTTAAGTATTTAAACCTACCACATTAATTACAAAAAAGAGCATAGATTGTCGTGCCTCTGTATACTTTGGTCGCACCTCTAATCCGTTCCTCTATTCTATACACTTCCTATAACAATGTCAATCACAAAACTGAAAATCTGGCCCTAAAGTAGCATTTTTTAGTCAAAACAATATCATTTATCAGGTAAAGGAAATTAGAAATAAGATATTATATTAACTTTGAATTTCAAGATCGTCCGTACCTCATTCGCTTCTTAACACACCACGAAGTGTGCTCCAACAGAGAACTGTGTGAATTTTGTCCCCTACCATTGAAAATTCGCTAAAACGGTGGACTTTTTAGTACAGATCAAAATGAAAATGAACGTATATTTTGTATTTATCTGTTTTCCAGATGGTAACAACAGCCTGAACGCCGAAGCCATTACTACAATTTACTACAAAACCAGCAAAACCCATATCTTACCAGTCCAATATAACCAATTTCTTTCGAATTTTTCTCTGTCGTCTCCTTCGAAAACTTTGTAGACGGAAACCATGTAACCAGTGGCCGAAGTATGCGTTTTGGCTAAGGACATGCCAATTTCGTGAATCGGCGGCCGACATATCGAAGCTACTTCTGTGTACAAGTCAAGTGTATGTGCCGCTGTATACCTATAAGATACACAAAATAACAAAGGATTCTGCACAAAACATATGGAAAATAGGTCACAGTCGATTTGTCTGAAAATTCAGTATGGTATATTTCACACCTTCCTTAGTTCTCAAATTCTCATGGGACCAAAGAAATAGGATGATTTGTTTCTAAGAAAAAGGGGAATAAAGTTTGCTCGATTTGCAAGAACAGTGAATGTGCCGATTGATGTTCTCAGACCAAAACTTGGAGAATCGATTTACTGAAAGAAGTATTCATTAAGACACCATGTCATGTTATCAAGGGCAAGCTGATTTTTAGATTATAATTCTGGAATAGATCTGGCACGAGTTGTTCGAGAATTTGATGGCACAAAAAGGTTTTGGTTGTTTCCTTGTCTTTGATTATGTCGTTCACAAGGTCAGATCAAGGTTTTGTCCATTTGGGAGATAAAAGGGAAATACGCTGTGATATAAGCAGCGTCGCTTTGTTGCCTGGCACCGAAAGAGGCGAACGGCGCTCCTATCTCTCTCTATCTCTCCTCTCTCTCTCTCTCTCTCTCTCTCTCTCTCTCTCTCTCTCTCTCCCCTCTCTCTCTCTCTCCTCTCTCTCTCTCCTCTCTCTCTCCTCTCTCTCTCTCATACACATGGAAATCTAAAAGGGTAAACGACTTTAGCCCGCTCTGTATAATTTGTTGCTATTAGCTTCGGTACCGGAGACCTATCATTTCCCATTATCATACTGTGACAAATAGTACTGTTGGCGCCAGGTGTTGAGCGAGTCTTCTACTCGCCAGAGCTTCATGGCCGATGACTGCTTTTACGCGAACCACGACCGCACAAGCCGCTTGGCGGCGTCTATGAGGACCGTGGCAGTGATCGGCCTTCTGGATCGACGCGAAGTAACCTCGACTACTGGGGAAGGCCGCTATGTGGCTCCCGATTCTTCTAGACTCAACTATGCGGACTATATAACTCGGCAGGCGGGAGATGGAAGGAGAGTACTGAATACGGCAGAGTAGCAGAGCGGAGTGGAGTATAGTGCAGTCTCAATGGGGACTTAAGAATTAGTCCGGCAAATAGTGGTGTACATAAATTTTCTATCAAGTCAAATAAATTAGTGCATTACTTTTTGTGGAATCCAGTGTGTTAATCCACACCCAAAAGAACCCAGAAAAACGCTACATTGGTGTCAGATGTGGGGTGTGGATTATTGGACATTTAGTGAAAATAAATCGGACGATTAGTAACTGAAGAATGGTGCGATTGGTTGAATTGAAAATTTCCGATTTAAAGAGAGAGCTGGAGGAAAGAGAGTGCGACACGGCTGGAAAGAAAGCAGAATTACAGGAACGGCTTCGTCAAGCACTGATTGAGGAAGGTGAGGACCGGGATATTTTCATTTTTACCGGTGCAGGGGATATTGCCTTAATGCTGCAAAACCTTTCGAGCAAGTTAGAAAACAAGCTCGTGGAAAACTGTGCCAACCTAGAAGGAAAACTCTTGGAGTTACACGAAAGTACAGCCAAATTAGAAAAGAAGTTTTTGGAAAATACTGCCAATTTAAAAAAAGAATTGGAAGAAAGAAACTTTGGAGGACAGAATTCAAGAAGTGCAAGGCAAGTTTGCCGCTTTAGACGTCAATACTATCGACGAACGACAGCGTGGACTTCCGTTGGAAAAATCAAGTGAGGTTGGAGCTTCTGTTGGGTTAGCTGGTCATCTGCGAATGAAACCGCCTCAGTTTGATGGTACAACGCCTAGGACTGTCTACCGACGTCAGTTTGAGGCAGCCGCGAATGCAAATGGTTGATCATCGACCGAAAAGGCAACTGCACTCACTTTAGCCCTACGAGGAGATGCTGCAGCTATTCTTCAAAGAATATTATCCGAAGAGCAAGAGGTCTACGAATAACTGGTAGGACATTTGGAGATGGGATATGGCCAGTCACATTTAGAACAAGTCAGGCGAGTCCTTGCAGGAGTTCGAAGCGGACACTGCGCGATTGGTATGATTAGCATATACCGATGTTCAGGAAAGGATAATGGATCGATTGGCAGTTCAAGCATTCCTGGATGGACTTCGCGATGGTGAAATGAGGCAAGCCTTACTACTAGCACATCCAACTAACCTAGTAGATGCGTTAACTTGGGCCCTAGAATTCGAAGCCGCTAAAAACACAAACAAAAGCCAGGTCCGAGTTCGTGAGATGGTACCAGAAGATAAGGAGTTCGAAGAGTCCGTCAAGCGCATTGTTAAGGAACTTGATGGTAAACGAACAGCAAGGTGGAATGTTGGGAATGTGGAAAAATAGGGCACGTTAGGAGACGCTGTTTAGAGGATGGTAAGCATTGCCAGCTGGCAGAGGAGAAAGATGTCCAAGTATTAAAAACCACTATCGTTAGTGATACTTGGCAAAATGAAGACCTCATTAAAGACCAAGAGGGCGATCCCGATCTCCAAATAATTCTGAACTGGATGAAAGAACAACGAAAACCAGCCTGGGAAGAAGTTGCCACGTATTCCCCTACCACAAAATCATATTGGGCACAATAGAATTCTCTCGTTATGGACGATGGACTCTTACTGCATAAATTGGTGGACCACGAAGGCAAAGAGGAAAGAAGACATATCGTTATCCCCAGATGTCGGATCCCGGAGCTGCTAAAAGAAATCCATTCTGGTGTGTCAGGAGGTCATCTCGGTGTTACAAAAGCCCTGGGAAAAGCCAGGGAAAGATTTTACTGGGCCAGTAGCAAGGAGGACGTGAAAGACTGGTGCAGTAAATGCGTTGTGTGTGCGGCAAGTAATGGACCGCAAAAGAAACCAAAAGCTTCGATGCGCCAATACAACGTGGGGAGCCCCTTTGAAAGGATTGCTATTGATGTAGCGGCACCCTTTCCAGAAAGTGAAGCAGGGTATAAATACATCATTGTGGTAATGGATTACTTTAGGAAGTGGGTTGAGGTATACGCTTTGCCAAATCAGGAAGCCTCTACGGTAGCCGATGCTTTAGTAAAGGAATTGATCTGTCGATTCGGTGTACCTTTAGAGTTGCATTCGGACCAAGCGCGCAATTTCGAGTCAAATCTGTTCCAAATTCTTGGGATTAAGAAGACCAGGACCACTGCCTTACACCCGCAGTCAGATGGAATGGTGGAGCGCATGAATAGGACCATTAACCGGTATCTGGCTAAGGTAGTCTCAAGCCATCAAAGAGACTGGTATAGTTTTCTTCACTTCTTCTTATTGGCTTACCGATCGTCGATTCATGAAAGCACAGGAGAGACCCCGGCTCGAATAGTTATGGGAAGAGAACTTAGTCTCCCATGCGATCTAAAGTTTGGCTGTCCACCAGGAACTGATATTGCCGTAGAAGACTACGTGTTTCAATTCAAGGTGCCAGCGACCGGATGAAGGAAGCTTATGACGTTAATGCTAACGACCAGAGGTATGATAACGGTGATACGGTTTGGCTTTACGACACAAAGAGGCGAAAAGGGCTGTCGCCTAAGCTTCAATCATCCTGGGATGGGCCATATAAAGTTCTGGATTCCATCAACGTTGTACTCTACAGGATTCAGAAGGCACCACGCGGTCTGTGAGGACCGTGGCAGTGACCCGCCTTCTGGATCGACACGAAGTAACCTCGACTATTCGGGAAGGCCGCTATGTGGCTCCCGATTCTTCTAGACTCAACGATTCTGACTATATAACTCGGCGGCCGGGACATGGAAGGAGAGTACTGAATACGGTAGAGTAGCAGAGCGGAGTGGAGTATAGTGCAGTCAATGGCGACATAAGAATTAGTCAGACATAAACAGTGGTGTACATAAATGTTCTATCAAGTCAAATAAATTAATGAATTTCTTTTTGTGGAATCCAGTGTTTTAATCCACAGCCGTAACTCTCGTGGCCGAATAGGCTAGAACTCCTAAGGCCAGTAATAAAAAAAAAAAAAAAAAAAAAAATCCACAGCCAAAAGAACCCAGGAAAACGCTACAATACCATGCCTTAAAGTATCCTTTGAATTTTCCTGACATTGAATTTAGGGAGTAAACTACAGAATAGAATATTTAGTGATAACATAAGTCTTGCCTGGTTGTCCTAGGATCGAACTTCGTCAAGCTGGCAGTGCGCAAGTTGTTATAAAACATCACAGGATTTGTTTGAGATGTATTTATCACGTAGTAAGTTATGAAAGGAAATTCAGCTGAAACAAAAAAATCTAATTAGGTGCCTTTTTACGTGTCGCTCGTGCTAGACCAGTATTTGTAGTGACGTGTTTTCTTGCAGTTTCAAAAGTAGAGTCCTAGGGATCAATTCTTGAGCCCAGTAAAGCAAAATACTCACTGGGGAATGATCCCAAATTCAGTCAGCTGTTGATATCTGCCAAACAAGTTTGTGAATGCATCCATGTTCCTAGGATTTTCATTTCTTTAAAAGTTTCGCCACAAAGTTAATTAACAGCTACTCACTCATTCCAAGAATTGATTCCTAATATCAGGAAAAGCATAAAAAATCAAGTCAAGTAAGTTGACTCTGTGCTCCCCACGCGATGCTGTCATCAGTTCGTAAAGGATTGTTTGACACAAGTTAACCCTTCTGAGAAACAAAGCTAGCAACGAATATGTATAGGTAACGAAAAATTAAATGACCTTCCTACTTCACTGAGAGAATCCCGCGTGAATGACGAATGCTTAGAATTACTAGGGTTAGAGACGTATAAATATACCAACGTCAAAAATTTGAGATACATCCCCACCCCCTGTATCCTTTAACCCCCAAATTTTAACTCCTGCAAAGACTTTTCCGAAAATGATCAGGATCAACTAAAACGTCAAAAAACAAAGTCTAGTCGTTTTTTTTTGTTTTTGACCTTTCTCCGGCGCCAGTAATCCGATTTTCAAAAACTACAAACCGTTTGCATCTTTGGCATAGTAGTGATATTCTGCAAAAATTTCTTCGTAATCCGAGCGGCACTTCTCAACTTACAGGCGGTTATAAGATTAGCGGACAGACAGGCGGACGGACAGACCGACGGAAATGAATGATGGTGTTTCGTGATGTATATGTCATATAACATCCAAAAAACATAATATCTCATTTTCGAAAATGTTCGCGATTACAATACTACTTCCCCGCCAGTGGAAAGTGGGAAGTATTTTTATTTCGGATTAAAGCAAGGATAAACTGTAACATTATCAAAAAGTGAATGTTAAGGCTCCCCTGTACCAAGCGCGACCTTGAGAATTGTAGTGAGACTTGCATTTCCTAGTCAGTCGAGGGGTGTGTCTTCAGTTCCGTTTCTTATACTTCGTTCAGTGTACGCAAAAGGGGGACAGTGTGAAGGTTCAAACGTCGCTACTAGGCGAGAACCTCCGTAATTAGTCCTAAGATTTTGCAATTTTTTTCCCAAAAGCTTTTTTGAAAAAATCGAACAGCAATTCTCTTCATTAAGCATTTTTATTTCCTATGCCCAAATTTCTTGTATATATCTCGAAAAACAGAAGAATTAATCGAGATCAACGGATACTTGCTTTTCATAGAAATATATGCCTCGCATTTGTTTCACAAAAACTTTTTTGAAGAAATTGAATAGCGATTAACCACTTTACTGTACTATGCCCAAATTTCTTGTTTTCATCTCTAAAATCAAATGAGTTATGCACGGATGCATTTCGTACATAGGAATCTGCTTTAGATACTAAAAATGTAATTTTGTCTATCTAGAGGATAGGTAACCAGTTTTTTTTTAAAATCATGTCGCCGCACTATTTTTTGGCATTTTATGTAGGTCCAAGGAAGATTGAGAACACATTTTTTAGCACATCATGAATGATTGTAAAATTATTTACCGTTTCTCTCCATATTGGCAAGCAACATCCCAGTAACTGCAGTCTTTGCTTGGGCCACCTCGTTCACCAGTTCGCCCGCAGTAATCCGTTGCTTGAATAGAGGTTGAACCAGAGGTGACTCTAATACAGGGTCTATCGGCTCTAAGGGACTCATTAGGTGACATAAGACACATAGTTTCGGATCAGGTACCTGAAATATTATTTTTACTAAAATATACATGTGGCATGGGACCATCCAAGAATTATATAAGCACTAAAGGGGGGCGGGAGAGGTCTTCGCTTTGCCTAACTTTAATGGCATGGAGGAAGGGAGGTTTGGATAGTGATTCTCATCAATAGACTGAGATTCTTGATTGATGAGTAAAACATTGTAATGATGTATTATTTTGCGTACTTTCAATCAATAACCTCATATAGGTATTATATTTTTTGGGGTACTCTAATATGTGACATCCAAGGCCGGCAACATTTTCCACGCTACGAGAACGTTTCGAATCAAGTGGAGCAGTGGAATATAGTAAAAAATGTATAAATAATCCAAGAGTCAACAATGAGGTAAATCAGTTGGAGGTTCTATATTAAAGTTGTAGGAAAATCCCTTTTAGGTGCACGGCAAATTGGAGCAGAAACTGATATATGCAGAACTTCTGTCCAAAGGATTATTCACAAGCATAGGTACCATCCATATCACCTATGCTTGCATCAAGGTCTTCGTCCTCAGGATTTCGCAGCTCGAATGGAGTTTAGTAGACTAATGCTAAATAAAGTGAGTGAAGACACTACTTTCCTGGATAAGGTTCTTTTTAGCGATGAGGCAACTTTTAACAGCATAGGTGTTGTCAACAGGCATAACATGCACTATTATGCGATGGAAAACCCTTACTGGGTTAGGCAAATAGATTTCCAAAATAAATGGAGCTTGAATGTTCGGGGAGGCGTTATTGGCAGACAAGTTGTCGGTCCTTTCTGTTTTGACAACAGATGAGCAGATACAGAATACTTGAATTGTTTGATCGAACATTTGCCTTTGCTTTTGGATGATGTCAACCTGCAAACTCGAATGCATATAGTACTTCCAACATGACGGCGCACCTGCGCATTATCAAAATCGTGTGCGTAACTCCTTGGACACCTGGAGTAACAATCATTGGATCGGTCGTGATGGGCCTATATCTTGGCCTCCTAGATCACCAGATATGACACCGATGGACTTCTTTCTATGGGGCTACGTTAAGCAAGAGGTTTATATCTAGATATCCACCATCTACCTTGGAAAACATGAAGGAAAGGATTAAGGATGCTTTTCTGAACATAAGGGAACACATGCTAAGGGATGTGCAACGGTCATTTATCCAAAGACTAGGGCTGTGTTTTCAACATGGTGGATATATCTTTGAGCAGTTTTTGTAGATTAGGTCTTGAGCAGTGATAGTTGTTTGTTTATGTTGTTGTTATACTCGTAGTTGTTTTTCTCTATTACGCTTGAAGCAGATTTATACTGTTCTGGTTGTTATTAGTTTTTACATCAAATCTGTACTCTTAATGGCAATATGCAACTAGCCCACTGTTTTATTTTGTTTCCATGGATGATGTGTTTTTTTTCTTAATTTTGGTGTGTTGTTCTATTAAAAGCTTAATAACTCACAATCTAGTAATCATATCTGAATCAAACCTTATACCAAAAAAAAGCTTATGAAAAATTGAATCCAAACATGCACAAATATACAGGGTGACGCATTTGAAATTTTTGAGAAAAAGTACAATTCGCGTTTTTGACCACCCAGTATGAGCAAAAATGAAAATTCGAAAAAGTAACAAATAAGATACAAGCTGAGGTGTGTAAGTTTTTTTTGATACAAAATTCACCACTCCAAATTCCAAAATGGCGGAATGACGGGATGCCGAAGTGGACGGTTTTTCTGGACAAAACATCTTACATCTCAGTAGCTAATTACCAAAACCCCATAGTATGACATATCATTCTTCTTATTTTGAATTGGTTTATCCAAATATGCAATAAAATTTGAGGCATTCCATTTAAAAAATCACAACTTTGATATGTAGGTCAAAATTGGGACACCCTGTATAATTGCCAATATTTTATAAATGTGCCCTTAAATGTCATGTATAACATGCCATAAATAGATTTCTCCAAAATGCATTTGTTTATGAGGAATATTCCGTCCACACATGGATGGGCCACCTTGTATACAGGTTGACTTCGAAGTTGAGTCATTTATTTTAACAGTGAGTAGATCTGATCAAAAGAAATGTTTTTTTCGTTTACCATTTTTCTGGTAAAATAAAAGTAACAAAGTTATAGCCCTTTGGAAGTTTGAGTACCGCCCTGTCTCAATAATAATATTATGTGCTCGTGTTTGGCAACCACTGATATAATCCGCCTTATCGGTTCATCGCATCGGAAACAAAAAAGCGAAAGAATTTGGAACGATGTTTTTACAATTATTTTATTCAGTTGTATACAGTCAGTGTCAGGCGGTAACGCGTGAGTGAAAAGTGGTGTCTGTTGCGTGGCTCAAACGAAATCAAAAATGGCACATGTTTACGAAAATGCTGAACTTGTGGACATGATTCTTATTTACGCGGCATCACGGATTTATGCGGATCGGTTTCCCAATCGAGTGCAACCAACCCCTCGTGCCTTTGTTAATGTAGTACAACGGGCTCGTGAATCAGGTGACTTAAGACCTCACAGGGGAGGGCATGCCGGTGCTCCAAGACCGCACGATCAAATACAGGTCCGCACTGAAATACTTGTCGGGAGGATACCTTATAAAACAAGGTAACATTGTTTTTTTAATTTTTTTTTATTTTTACACACATATTTTGGTTTATCTTCCTTCTACAATCATTATCTGAAAATTATTGACTCAACTTCAAAGTCACCCGTATGTGCACTTATCCATTTGTGTGTTGGTATGTATTTTAATTTGACTGTATCTTCTTTTTTTTGAGTTCCTAGTTTTGGATTTTTTTTTTTAGTATATACAAATATGTGGTTTATGTTCCTGGTTTTTCTTTTTCGTTTTCGCTCTTTTCTTTTCCTAATTTAAATATGACTTGTTCTATATCTCTTTGAGATCGACAGCATGAATAAAGAACTTTGAATTTGAATTTCATCAGTACTATTTATTTAGTTACTTTTTCGGATTTTCTACAAAATTTATTCGATTTTGACTGGAACACATATAGTAGCTCTGCTTATCTTCAAGGATTCCCAAATATGGATATGCTTACTCGCTTAGAACCTTAGCTCTAAATGCTCCTTAGTCGGGAACTGGCTGGTTTGATACTGCCTCATGACCAGTTTGGGTCTCATTTGGATGAACGTGGCGTTACAATTAGTGAATATTTAGAAAGATCCAATATCAAGTTGGCCGGGATTGCATTAGCGGAGGTATGAAGTTCTATGGAAATTAAGGTTATCATGTTACTGTAAACTACGTTGGGTCGGTCGAGCCAGATATTCATGATTTCCCAGACATTAAATGCTATTCCGAACATGTGCGTGAAAGCCAATACTTGCTTCAAATTGTAAAATGTACCAAAATGTTTACGTAAGCATCGGATGTAGGGAGGTGATAGATTTGCTTATATTTGATGACAAGTGGAAGGCTGGGTTAATAATTCTAAAACATCTGCTCACGTAATATTTGAACTGCCCCTTCCTGTGAGTATAAGAATTTATATTGACTAATGTACTTACTTCCATAACGTGTAAATTGCCTTTTTTCTCCATTGAATTTCCGTTTGCAGGAGGTTTCTGAAAATACAGCTTTTATATAAGGCGTTATCAAAAAATGAAATAAAAGAGATATTTCCAGATGTTTCCCATCATTTTTGAGTTCCAATTCGTTGAAGGGTGTAGCTAAATGAAGTTCTAGAAGGATTAAGAATATTAAACATTGGTCTCCAATTTTCGAGTTACTTATCCACATTTCTTCATATAGCATCAATAATAAATTCATCGAGCATTTCATAACTTCAGTGCCGAGTCAGCATACTCGACATCAGTTTTTCCAAATGAATAAGTTGTATAATGATATTATACCTACTGGCATAGGCACTCCAGCGGGAAGAAATCTATCTAAGCTATGAACTGGTATGATGAAGCAATCTCTGTCCAAGCCTGATAACGTCCTTGCTGATTCGGAACCGTCTTTTCCATAGTTGAAGTTCACCTGGGAAAGAGCAAGTTTTAGTAAAAGGTTCAAATAATTGTGAATAAATATTACCTGGAACATTATTCTCTACAGATTCGTTCGTAAAATTTCAGCTCAAGGTCATTGAATTCAGACTATAGGTAGATAGAGCAAGCCTACGATTTGTTTGTCTACAAAATCTCCGTCAGTAAGTCGACTTGATATAAGTTAATTTTTTGACAGTTCTGTAATTAAATTCCTAATTTTGGTAAGTTATTTTTTGAAAGTGTATGCAGATAATTGTGGTGTAAAACGACTTTAGGAAATGATACTTCTTGCATGCCTAATGAAGTTCAATCTTTCCACCGGTAGGTATTATTATGTTGGTGCAACTATGTCACTTTGGTAGGCAATACTAAGTAGGTGTTATGTGAGTAAAACTACGCAATTTTGGCGACAAAACAATGTAAGCATATAGGCGTTACTCCTACTAATCTATTAGAATTCCTTGGTCTCCAGTTTGAGGCGTCCGTCATATTTAATTTAAAAATAACTGCGCCTTACTGATAGTATTCAACTCATCAAACTCTTTCATTTGACACCCATATACATATACATACTATGAAAGTAATATATCGTCGTTTTGTAGCATCCGCCATATTGAATTAAAAATGGCGGCATGTAATTTAATGTGTACATGGATAACTACTATCTTCCTACACTCACCTGCCTGTTGACGTTGGCAGCCATCGGCAACAGATTCTGGTTGTGATGCCTGGCTGGAGGATTGTTCTGCCCTCCCCCACCTGGAGGCCATTTGATGGACATCGTCGCCGAAGGGCTGCGCACGACGAGCGGCTGGGGAGGCAGATCGGCCTCGGTGAGGGCGGGCGAGATACAGCCAACCCCACTCGACGAAGCGGGTAGTGGCTCACCGCCCGCACCTGTCATCGGACCACAACGCGGCTCTGAAAAAAATAGTATCAAGTAGGTTTTTACAATTACAACCTTACTTAGACTATGCCCGAAAATGATCACACACTCGAAAAACGTTGAAAAACAGTTTTTGGAGAAGTTCTGTTTTTTTTCGCCTATAATCCCGCAACCACTATCGATTTTCAAAAGCCACAAAGCTTATTTACTTTCCGAGTTAGGGATAAGTAAGAAATATCAAAATTTAGAGGCTGCGCCCGACCCAACCCACCTGTCATCGGTGTGCAGCGAGAAGTGTTTTCCAAGTTACAAAGAAGAAAAGAATATCGAATATCAAATGTTTAAGGTTTGCACGACTCAGGGACCATACCTGTGATCGGACCGAAACTCGGATCTGTTAAAAAATAGTATCAAGTAGGCTTTTTTTTTTAATCATGACCCCTCCAGAAATTTTTATTGAGTATGCACTAAAGAGTTCAGAAAACGGAAAAACGGAGAAAAGAGATTTTTTTTAAAATTTCGACCCATCCAAAAAAATGTTTGACTACGCCCTGAAATGATAAGGTCGAAGAACTGACTTTGGAGAAGTTCCAAATATGTTTGTTTTTTTACAACCCTGCCTTCACTGAACTGACTTTCAAAATCTTACAAAGCTTATTCGTTTTTAGCATGATAATAACCTTGTGTAAAAATTTTATCTAAATCCGAGCAGTGCTTCCCGAGTTGTATAGAAGTAAGAAATATCAAATGTCAGACGCTGCGCATGATTCCCCATCTGCACCTATCATCGGTCCGCAGCGCGGCTCTGAAAAAAAATAGTATCAAGTAGGTTTTTTAAAATTGCGATCCCTCAGAAAAAATTCTTGATTACGCCCTAAAATGTCCAGAAAGTTGAACAACGTCAAAAAGGAATGTTGAGTTTTTTTCAGAACGCCGACCCCTCCAAAACGTTTTTTGACTATGCCCTAAAATGATCGCAAACTCTAAAAACGTCGAAAAACAGACTTGGGGAAGTTCTGATTTTTTTTGTTTTTCACTTATAAGCCCGCCGTCACGGTACCCTTTTTCAAAAACAACAAAAATTGTTCATCATTCGTATGATAATAACCTTTTGTATGAATTTCATCAAAATCCGAACAGTACCTGCCGAGTTAAAAAATATCAGCTGCTCAGTCTAGATTTCTCATCATCAGCATTATGGTAATAGGTGTATGTAAATCAAACATTCAACCTTACCTGTACAGATGTTAATAAAAGCAAAAACCTATCATCAAAAACACATCTGTCACTCAAATGTAGCAAAATTTGAGGTAAACAAACGAAAATCGTAGTATTTTCCCTGTGAAAACAAGCAACCACTGGACACAAATCCGAACGACATTTGCATTTTACACGCGAATCCTTGGAAAACGTCGCCGGATCCAGAGTGCCCTGGATACCTGAATTATCAAGCTTGTACCAGGTGGTGTTTGTTTTCGGGGACTGCCAAAAATACAGTCACGAAAAGGGGTTCGTTAGTAGATAGAATCAGACTGCATATAGGGTGAGCTTTGTTAATGTAACAATAAAGGACGTTCAATCCATACTCGAACGTTCCTTTCTGCCATTCAATTATGCCTGCCACGAAAGTTCGATGTTCCGTCATGAGAGGAAGAATTTTCCCACTAACTGTTGGATATTCTGGAAGGAAAGACTGAATGAATTACTTTCTTTCTATAACGTAGTTCCATATACAAGATACTATTTAAAGTTACATATTGCAGATTACCAAAAAGGGGCTGCCTTGTTAGCCTAAACGTCACTGCGTTCCAAATCGTCCCCCAAAACAAGTGTCGTAACTGACATTTCCATAATTTTACAGGAGAGGGATCTCTTTGAGAATCTGTATGTCATACAATAAAAAGTATATCACAAAACGTTTTGAGCCTATCATACTCAAATCTACCAGTTTTCAAATGCAGCTAGCAAAATGGTAGTTTGCTGAGTAAGTTTTGAGAAAAAAAAAATGGATAAGTCATTTCGTGTTGTCAAAAATAATTCTTCATTGATGCGATGGAAGATACGACAAAAAGACCCATACATAGGTACATAATGATTTATAATCAAAGAAAGGGAGAGAAAAAAGTTCTTGTTAATAATTTTTATTGACAAAGGTAAGGCTCTAATAAATAAAAAATATAAAAAAATTCTCAAAATCTATATGAAAAACTAAACCTATACCTTATCATGAGGTCTTCATAAAATTTATTTATTTCCGGTAGCCTTATCACGGGATTTTTGCCATTACATAAAGCAATGAGGTCATTATATTTCTTATTAGAAATATTTATTGATGAGGCGTATAGTGGCCTAACTGACATTTCACTATTTGCTGCGCATCTTTTTAATTGAATAAAATCATACTCTTCTGTTAAATGGCTCGTCATGAAAAATATTTTATCTTGGTGTAACTTATTAACTTTAACTTCCATGATGTCTGTCCAGTTAATCGTTCTTCCTGAAGCTGTAGTTCGTAGACAAAGATTTGAAATCCATGAAGTCGCTAAAAGTTAGGGGATATACTTTATACGGATGTTTCCGTCTTGTCAAATTGATAATCGGTAATATCTGAGTCGGCTCAAAGATATCCCCTGTTTTTAAAATTGCATGAGAAATGGTGCTACGGGAGAATCTCCATCATTTTGCCCATGGTTTGTAACAATGAATCTTAAAGTTATCTCCATCAGTGATGGAAGGGTACTCAAAGCATACAGGAGCATAACGACAACTATAGTGTTTGTATTCTGACTATAGCACCCATCAGAAAATAAAACAACATTTGTTTTATCCAGCCTAGGATACTCCTCTAAAATTTTAAAAAGGCAGGTCGCTATCTCCGAACATCCTCTCTTACCTGCTGCTTCATTCCACACAAAACAATAACAATATCTACTAGCTAAATCATAGAAAGTGAAGTTGAAGTTCGATAATCTGATTTTATAAAAAATTGCATTTTTCTTACTGATCGGTTGAAGATCAAACACACCACATAAAACTGTATTGTTAGCTATCGCTACTTCTTTATACAGTCTCTTCAATTCTCTAACCTTAGTTTTTTCTTTAATATGATTTTCAAAGTCCTCTTTCAATTTTTGTTTCACTTTTTCATCTCTCTCTCCAAACGAGAGACACAGCGATCTTTCTCTGGATGATTAAATTTTTTTTTTTTTACTTGAAAATTTTCCTATATATTGTTATACAAGGTTTTCTTTCGATACTCTGTCAGCTCAGCTCTTCAATGGACATGTCATACATCCTTTGCAATGTCAAATCTGGATGTAGATACTTACGCGAGGTCTTACGTCTGCGATAATGCGATTTATTTTTGAATATCTATCAATATGGTCACTTATCTTGTTTCGCATTTCTTGTTCTTTTTTTTAAAATCTCCTGACATCTCTAACGACCGCATCGTTTTTCTTTCACTAATATACCCATCTCAGATGTTTTATTATGCACTGTTTGAACTAGTCTTTCAGAATTTCCCAGAGCGTTTAAGAAAAAGGTTTTGCAGGTAGACGATCATTTCCTACTGTGAAAAAATACCTCAAATTATTTTCACTGGTGTCACCAACAGAAGATCAGGTAATTTGATTTAGTGCATACTGAAGTAGTTATACTGATATGAATCGATGCACACAACTTTTGATTCGTTTTTGACGTTATATTCACGTTCGTCGCCTGATTCGCTGAATATACGACAGCACGAACTATCGTATCTGCAAATAAACTTAGATACGACAGTTCGTGATTTTCTTTGAATGCGCTAAGGCAGTTACGTTGAAACCAAATATTAAAATTACTCAACGTTGGTTGAGAATTCGGATACTACATTTGTGAGAAGGAAGTGGCGACTTCATATTGCTCATACCTGGCGTAACTCAAATTTGCAAAAAATGTCAAATACGACACTTCGTGTTTTGGGGGACAAAATGGATCTATTGTGACCCCCCATATACACTTTCCAAAGCACTCTCTGTCCAGCCTCGATACTTTAATCAGACTCCATAGTCTTGACATAGGGCTTTGCATATAGCTTTCTGATGTTGAAATTGTGATTCCTAGATACTATCTGAAACCGTAGCCTTGCCAGGCCTTCGCAGTAACACAGGAAATCCACTGGGCATTCCTCATGCTCTCTGCAGAAACGACATGTGTAGTCTCTTCTGCCTGGCCCAAGAGAATCATATGTCGATTTAGATGACACTGTCCTGTCAGGAGACCTACTACGGTCCTTAAATCCAAGTAGGTCCTCTGTAAATGCGAGCCTTCGTTTGGCCTAATTGGCCATCATTCTAGGGATTTTTTCTTGATCCAGTTCCTTATGAACTGTTTAATGCGCCTTTTCACCACACCACAGAAAATAGTTGAACAAAAGCTTCGCGGTTTTTATGTTTTTAAGGAGAGTCAAATCAAATCATAGCTTTCAAATATGACATAGGTAGTATAGTATAACAGTCCTGTATTATTTGTTATTGATTCTCGACTGGTTATCTAACTTATGTAATTTTAAAACCTCTAACAAACAGCTTATGTAATTACATATGTTAATCCCACTTCGCAAGCCAAATCCAAATCTCATCCTGCTCCGTAATGATTTTATCTTTGTCTACCTATAAATTGAATTATCCGGTATTTGTGGCCGCACAACATGCCACCATGTTTTATTGTTTGTCACTGATTTATAAGTTATATAAGTCATAGACAATGCAGCTTATAACAGCGCACCTGCCAAACCATTCTAAAAATACTGACAGTTCTTACGCACCAAAAATCACAGTCGTCCGTGGAATTGGCACAAAAACAGGGCAGGCCGTGGCAATCACGTGACGTCACTTTTCACACACAATTCTCAACGGGCAAAATCCGAAAAGACCGACGAATCGAAACCACGCAAATGAAAACCCTGCGTTCTTTTCAATACTTTGCAAACGATTAGTGTCTATAAGCGCGTATATTAGAAAATAGCTAGTGTGATCCCAGGGAATCGTTGCCAAATTATTATGATTTTCATGTTTATGAGTCTAAGTTGGCGTGTGCGGTTCGTACAAAGACGCGTTTACATTCGCGGCGTCGTGACGAGCGACGCTAGGCGTCAATGTTATTCGCGGACTCAGTCTCAGAAGTTTCTCGGATATCCAGAGCGCTTGACGGGCTTAGAGCCGAGGAGACTGCTTACCATGCATTAAGCTGCTTACTCAGTGCACACTGTAATCATTCAAGTTATTCATCCTTGGGAGTCAGTATTAAAAATACGATGTTTCGGTGACTTTAAACCCCATCTTCAGTTACATGTGAGTTTCTAGAACTAAATAAAGGCGTCAGAAATTGCAAGACAAAAACACGTTAAACAAGAAAAAATAATATAAAGAAAGACTTTCTAGTTGGGACAACTAACATTCTGATCTGATCTAGCCTAGCGCCCCACCGACCACCCAGCAACGTGGCAACTCGCAAATCCAGCATGGCGTTGCATATACGGATACACGCATCACGGCTCAGTTATCCCTCAGCATTCGAAGCAGACAGATATACGCTCGCTGAGTTGTCCAGTATGCGTATATCGAACATATATCTCTATCATTCAAGTTTTAAGGGCAAATGTACGGGTAAATCTATGATGTATATATAAAATATGCCTAGTAGGTGCATACAATTACTGGGGCTGGCAACGTAAAAGTTTCTGGCACCCCCTACAACCCCAACATCCAATTTTCAACCCCTTCAAAAATGTTTCTGAATATCATCAGGATCCTCCGAAACGTCAAAAAACTAATAAGTTTGATCGAATTTTATTTTTCCGTTTTTTGCCTGTAGCTCTGCCACTGGACCAATTTTCAAAAAGTATGAAGATTTTTCGTCCGTGGCATAGTATAGTTACCTTGTGTAAAATTTCATCAAAATCCGAGTGGTACTTCCTAAGTTATACACATAGATACATTCATACATAAATGAGTGACATTGTTTTTCGTGATGTACGAGGTCTGTAAATTAAATGAAGAGACTGGCAACGTAGCGTTCGATCTGGCAACACTGGAGACGCGGGGCTTGGGGGAAAAAAGGGGACATGTGATCCGCCTGAACTCACCCAAGTATTTTTGTCCATTGCGATTTTTTTTTGTGAAACAGTTTTTTCTATTGTGTTCTAAAAATGAGTGACATCAATTTCAAGCAACGTTGTGCTATCAGGTTTTTCTTCAGACTTGGACACAGTACAACAGAAACTCTTGCTAAACAGGCCTTCAGAGATAGTGTTTTGTCAAGAGCCCAGGTTTCTCAGAGGTTTAAGGCATTTTCAGAAGAGAGAGAGAGAGTTGATTAAAGATGAACCACGAGCCGTAAGGCCTTCATCTTCAAGAACCGATAAAAATATCGACAGAATCCGGGATCTTCTGCGTGCAGATCGCCGGTTTTCAGTCAGAATAATCAAGGAAGAGTTAAATTTGACTCGCACCACCGTTCATCAGATCAAGAACAACTCGCTGTTGCATCATAATGTTCCTTGTCCCACATTAATTCCAAAAGATGAGTTTTTGGCCAGTACAAACATTTCCGTAGCTCCTCAGCCTCCTTATGCGACTGACTTGAGTCCTTCCCAAAGTTGAAAAAGCACCTCAAGGAAACTGATTTTGGGACAACATTCAAACGAGTGTAACCGACCAGCTGAAGGCTATTCCAGTATCGGAGTTCCAGCACTGCTATGAAAAGTGGCAGAACCGTCTCCAGCGCTGTGTGGCTTCAGAAGGAAGCCGTTTTCAGGGTAACAGTATAAAATTGTAATTATACTTGAATAAAAAAAATTAAAAAATGTATCATTATCTATTGGTCAGATCATTATGTTCGTTGACCAGATCAATAACGAATCGAAGTAAAGTGAACATTCTAATTATTCATTACCAAATGAAGAAGAAAGTGAGATTAAAAGACTACGACAAAAAGGTACTCGAGATCTTGAGTATTATACATATGTGGTTCACGCAAATTCAGATTAAAAATAGAAAGCCTTAGAGTTCGGAACCTGTTTTACAGGTTAGTGCTCCACTCTTAAGTTACATTATCGTTCATTAATTTGGAGTTAAAATCATGTGTCAGCAAAAATATTGTGTTTTTCTATTGAAGTATACTATATTATTTCTACGTATGTAAAGCCTTTTTTAGCTTATTTGTCCAATATAAGAAATGAAAATGGTTGTCGTACTCAAAGAACAATAAATAGATTCGTAACATATCCTATAAAAAATAATGGGCGAAATCCGCAAAAAGAAGGAAAGTGGATTCGAAGCTAAAATATTATAGGTAACCCAAGCGATACTTATTTCTGCCTCTTGACTTAATCAGGTCCGACTTGAATGCACATATGCAACTAGAAAAGTGCACATGCCCATACATCCGGATACGGGTGCAACCTGAGGAAACGAAGATGGAGAGGGAAAAAATGATACACGAAGTCACCAACAAAAGCCAACTTACACAATGTAGTAGTTCTCCAATTTTCAAGGCCACATCTTTTTTCTCAGCAGCTGCCGCGATTAACGGGATGTGTTCGTACCAGATCAAGTTCTCGGTGACGGACGCCGATCAGCCTAAATGAACGGCTACTTGGTAGAACTGGGACATCCCTTAGAAACGGATGAGCACAAGGGCACTTTTGTTAGTTAAGGACTGTGTCTTGGAACTATTAAACTGTACCAGATTGTGGCATCCCCAGGCAGTGATAACCTCCAGGTCTCTCGTCAGAGAGGAAGTCGCTCATAGTCTTCTTTTCTCCAGCTCACCGGCACAGTTCGCCTTGCCACTCTAATTCCTTTATGTAGAATGCTGTCATCAGCAAAGCTGTGAATCCTATTGATCTTACAGGAAAGGAAGTCGTTGATATGTAAGATGAACAATGTCGGACCCAAAACCGATCGCTGGGGAACACTCGCGTTGACATCGTGGGATGAAGAGGACAACTCGTTAACTACGACGAATATCTTGCGGCCTAAGTGGAATATAGCCACACATCTGCAAAGCTGCTCTGGGAGGCCATAGGAATTATTTTAACTTGCTTTTATCATTTACATTAATTTGAAGAGATCCTGAGTTAGTGTAGAAAGCTTTCACACAAATTATGTTGAATAAAGAACGGATTTGCTAATGAAACTGATCAAAAATCAAATTGACTTCTTAGCTTAACTCAAATCCGTCCTTTACTAGAATAATTGGACGCATTCAGAGAAGCACAGCATTTCCGGTGTACTTAACATAAAGTGTTACTAAAGCGCTGTCGTTTTCTGAATAAACCCATTTCAAACACGTGTTAATTATCACACACAAATGAGATATGAATATTCAAAAGTATGCGCTTCTATTGAAAACTGCTGCAAGCTATTATTACATAGATGTTGTTGAACAGAAGCATAAATTCACGTCACAATAAAGGTGAAAAATCTAAAAACACTGCAAATGTATGCGGATTCTATAAAAAGAAACGTTTGAATTGAAACACAGGTATTATAAATATAAGTCCACATTTCCACGTAATATCTTGTTCTTGAAAATTTTACTCGCAATCATAATATATACATTTGCTTGGTTGCTCCAATATTAGAAGCTTTAAATACGCTCGTAACTTTTCCATAATGATCATAAAATGTATTTTTAAATCTTACAAGTGAGATGCTCACTAAGAAAAACTGGTGAGGATATCGGTAGATCACAGCTTATTAACATAAATCTACGAGTTCACACAACGTTATTGGAAAACTGTTTAGAATATATTCTAGCAATATTATAAAGTGTGTGTGTATGTTCTGTTTTCACGTCAAAACGGCCGAACCGATCTCGGTGAATTTTGGATATAGATTAAACCTTGGAGACGGATGTAAGCTACCTTTAATTGGAATATAACACTTTAAGGGTTGAAATAGGGGACAAAATTAACAATTATTCTTTAAGTTAGGGATGCAACTATAGTTTTTTATATTTGGTCCTTTAATATAATGTAAATGAGCAGGTACCTACAAGGAAATTTTGGGAATTACACACCTAAGGGGTGAAGCGGGAGTTAACTTTCTTGAAGCTGAAGAGCCTTGAATATTTCAAATTAGGTATAAATATGTACACGATTATAAGTACAAAAAGAATATGAATCCATTATGTGCGCAAACATTATTACGACAGGCTATGGTATTAATTTGGACATATACAAAAGCGAACTCAATTTGAACACACAAGATACCCTGACCTGAAATTTAGCACTCACGCGGCATTACCTGGCGAACTGTATGACCCTGGAATTAAAATATCAGATTTTCAAAGTAACAGTCAAAATAAAAAACAGTAGGCATAATCACATATGTATGTATGTGTTGTAGAATAAAGTAGGTTTATACAACGCGTTACAGATTGTCGTCAGGAAAATTGGTGGAGAAAGCGTTAAGTCCATATAATGCGGGATTGTTTCGTCTTAATGTGACAAAGCCTGTCAAAATATCAGATATGCTGAATTGGGTTTCCGTCACTGTCACTTTGACTCATTCTAGCAATAATTTAAAAAATACATCAAGCAGTAAAAACATGTGTTGTGTCTTTCAGAGCTATTTTTCTCGAGGAAGCATAGGGCAAAAAGTTAGTATAGAATAGAACATGTAACTACTATGAGAACGCATTTTTTTGTAAATCATGAAACTTCTGGTAGAATCTTTAAGAGTTCGTGGCACACTTGAGAGCTCACGCATTTACATGTACTCGATAGCATCTGCCTGTGCTGTTTTTGCTCTTCAAAGAATTTCGGGAGTTCATTTGTAAGTTTGTACCGATCTTTCTCGTTCTGGGAAAATACCTGCAGGCACCCATGGTAATCGGTAGGATAGTTGTCAAATAGTTGGTGACACCAAGATCAAAATCCCTGTCGGAATTCGCTCTTAAATTTTTCGGACGACATTCTATAACACCTTGTATTTATACATTGTAAGATGATTGTATGTTAAATAATAATTTCTTATTCAATACACATTTTATAAAATCTAAACATGATGCTTTTGTCCAACCTACCATACAGACAGCCAACCATGGACAGACGTATGTATGGTCTAGGCTTGGTCTCAGGAACAACAAACGAAAGCATAGCAACTATCCTATATCCTAGACAACACAGATTTATCGAAATGTGACAGCGCAAAGCGAGAGTGTATAGCCTAAACCAACGGTTTTTCTTTCTGCGAACCCCTTATAAAAATTGGAATATATCGGCGAACCCCCTGATTAGTCTTTAGTAAGAGTAAGTAAGTACTATTTGGCTGTAATCAAGATTTATTAATCATATGAATAATAGTTATAATGAGCAAAGTAAATTAAAACAACTGAAACGTAAAACATTTAGAGTAACGTTATTAAAACTAATTAAGCCCTACAAAAAAAGGAATAATATAATATGAATACAAGTAATTCGATACTTGCAAAAATCCTCAATGAGATATTTGTGCCTGTTTGTTGGAACAAAGAAATTCAAAATTTGGTTCAATGTCTGAAAGCTTAAGTCTTAGATCGGGTTCTGCATTTATTCTATTTCTGCACTTATCTTTGAGGTAAGTGTATGTTGAAAATCCAGCTTTTAGAGCAAGAGTTCCTAACCAGGGGGGCGCGCCTCCCAAGGGGGGCGGAAAGCGTTTGCATTTTAGAAAGAAAAAAAAATAAACAAACGACATTAACAAATAACATTACAATGTAATGTTTAATTTACACGCATAAAATTAGAGATTAAATATCATATTCACTTATTCTGCCAATGTTTCAAAACCCCGCGTCATCAATCGCAGTTTATACAAGTATCGAGAAGTCAAAACATGAAATCCGCGCGCACCCTTACGCTTAATATTCATCACTTAGAAAACAATTAATTGTGTACCTACCAGACGCGGATGAGCATGTGACATTCATTCCCACAAACTTGCGAAAAATTTGACGTTTCGATGTACATGTTTTGTTGAGAAATCTGTTTGAGTGTGTCCAATTATTGTCTCACTGTTAAAAGGTAAGTTTATGTATTTACAAACTTCATTTAACATTTTCATTTAACTTACTAAATTGTTGATTGAGTGGAGATGCGTTCATAGATCTGTCATTGGGACTTTTTACCACATCACAATCAAACAAACGCAACGTGGCGAATTTTGAAACGACGTACTTTAAGTACCTAATATTTATTCCAAATGTATTTAAAATTACTATTATAACGTCAACCTGCCTACAAAAATATAAATCTCCCGGTGGCCAATATACTGTTGAATACATTACGTTATTAAGATAAAATAATGGGCATATAATTAGTAATTACATGTAGGTATTTTGCTTATTTATTAATTACTTATTTGTTTCCCGAAGATTACGTTAAGTTTGAATTTACCTTCGAGTTACAATTATTGCCTCAGTGTGTGATATGTTTGAAAGTTTCAAGTAATGATAGCATGAGGCCCTTTTCGCCTTGAAAGGCATTTGAAGCAACAACTACTCTGGTTTTGAAGACGAAAGAGATTTTTTCTTCTAAAGCGGAATCACTCAAGCGGATGAGACTGGATAAATCGGGAGTTATAACACAGGTGTATCGCAGCTTCTCAAAGCTTCATTTCAAATAGTTTTTATGATAGCAAAGCAAAAGAAACCTCATACTATCGGTGAAGAATTAATAAAACCATGTGTCCTAAAAGCCACGCAGATAATTTTAGGAGAAGATGCAGAGCAAAAAATGAAGTCTATTTCTCTTTCGAATAACACAGTCAAGCGTAGAATCGATGACATTGCAGCAGACATAAACTCACAAACAAGGTAAAATTTTCGCCATTTTTTGTCATTAGATGCAAAGAATCCACCGACATCGTTAATTGTGCACAGTTAATATTTTATGTTCGTTACATCGGCGGAGATATCATTCAAGAAGAGATTTTGTACACCGAATCTTTGACAGCAGGTACTACATCTGAAGATATATTTAATTCAAGATCAAATTTTGTTGAAAAAAATGATTTGGATTGGAAGAAACTCATTGGACTTTGCACATGGTGCACCTGCAATGATAGGTGTACGATCGGGCTTAGCTAAAAAGCTCAAGGAAAAAAAACCCGCAATGGTTAGTACACATTATGTTATTCATCGGCAAGCTTTGGCTTCCAAAACATTGCCACAGAAATTACGCCAGACTTTGGACTCGGCTTTTAGGATTGTAAACAACATCAAGAGCAGCGGTTTGAACAGTCGGTTATTTATTTTACTTTGCGAGGATCTCGATTCTGATCACAAAGTGCTTCTGTTCCATACAGAAGTACGCTGGATGTCCAAAGGCAACATGTTGGCTCACCTGTATGAATTGCAAGAAGAGGTAATTCTTTTTCTTGAGTTCAAAGAAAAACACGATTTCTTGACAATGTTCAAAGATGACGCATTTCAATGGAGGTTGGCTTATTTAACTGACATATTTGACTCCTTGAATGAGCTAAACTTGAAACTTCAGGGCAGAAACAACAATATAACAAGCAATTATGATTATATTCAGGAGTTCATATCAAAGCTTCAACTTTGGATTAAAAAAGGGTCTTCTGAAAATGTTATATCGTTTCCTCGACTGTTCGAAGCAATTAAAAATAACATACTGGACGCAAATTTAAAAGCTGACATAAAAACCCATTTGCAAGCTCTGGAAGACGAATTTCGCCGATACTATCGAAACATCAATTCAGAGTCACCAATATGGCACATGACAAATAATTCATTTGTTGTCGATGTGTCACAATTACCAGAAGAAGTTCAGGAAGAATTTATAGAAATGAAGGGTGATTCGTCCATGAAAGACGACTTCCATCTTATTGGAGAAATTTTGGATCAAAAGATTGCCTGTTAATTCGACACTTGCCTCTCTTGCTTTACGAATACTAGTTCCTTTTTCTTCAACGTACTTATGTCAGACAGGCTTTTCTGCTCTAGTTTTAATTAAAACAAAACAGCGGAATCGTCTTGATGTCGATAGCGACCTGATGATAGCTCTGGCAATAACAGAACCTAGAATCAACCAACTCGTACAGAACATGCAATCTCAAGTGTCTCATTAGTACCTACTCTTATTTTATTCAAGTTTTTCGTTAAAAAACATTTATTAGTTTATTTAAACTGTTAAAGTTTCTTTATTAGAATTAAAATAAAAGTATTTGTACCTATATAATGTGCGTTTTTTGTATTTATTGAAAAAGTAAAGGGGAGCATGAAAATATAATTTCTAGTCCGGGGAGCCTCAACAAAAAAAAAGGTTGGGAAACCCTGTATTAGAGAATTGTCAGAGGATAAATCAATGAGCTTTTCTTTTTCCAATAAAGATAAAGAAATGTTAGAAATCATATCTCCTTCAAAAGGATTGCGTATCCAGTTGTTTGATCCAGGTTTATTAGGAAAATACTCTTTGAACGTTAATTGAAGCTCTTTAAGATGTTCAGTAATGTCTCTTTTAATGTTTTCGTTAAGTTAAACTTTATTCTCTGATAAAAAGCTGCTAAGAGAACCAAAATCTGCAGATATTGATTCCAAAAGTTGAAATTCTTTAGCATATTCTATCATGAACATTGAAAATGGTGATTATTGGACCTTGTAAAGTCATATTTAGTTCATTTAATTTAGAAAAAATATCCGCTAAATATGCAAGTTTTTGGAGCCACAGAATGTCGGATACAGAAGCAGACAGATGAAACGGATGGTCAAGAAAAAATGCCTGAACTTCAGACTTCAATTCAAACAAGCAGGTTAAAACCTTGCCACGAGAAAGCCACCTAACTTCTGTATGAAGTAATAAAGAGTCCTCACAAAGTTCACGGAATACGCTTACAAACCAATGCTTGCCTATAAGTCCATTCTATATTCTCGTTGATCTTCTTTATTCGTGCCACAAGACCAGAATATGTTGCAGTCATTGAATTTGCACCATCTGTGCATACACCTAAGCAAAATGACTAGTTGATTTCATGTTTTTCAAAATATTCATTGATCAGATTAAAAATTGCTGCACCAGTCCTATAAGTTTCCAATGGTTTTGCAAATAACTCATCTTCTCAAATGGAATTCTTAAAAATATATCTAACATACACGAGCAATATTGCACATTTTGCTACACCAGTCGACTCGTCAAGCTGAATAGCAAAATATTTCAATTTTATTCTTTTCAAAAGTTCACTTTCAACACTGTTCGCCAAATCGTTAAATCTGCGTGACACTGTGCTGTTTGATAAGGGCCCAAGGTCAATTTTTTGCCGCTTTTTCTCGTATACACATTGCGATGTCTTTAGCACAAGGTCCGATTAAATTTTCTGCCACTGTATGAGCTTTTCCAGATCTTGCGATACTAACTCGAAAGGATGCTTCTAGAGCCATTTTACTATCTGCGTTGAAAGCCGACAGGAAAGAAGAAACACTACAATTCTTATTACCTTCTAATTTCCTTTTAAAATATTCAATAGGTTTATCCTTGTAATCCGGATGTCTTGTCTCAGAAGAAGTGATGATTTTAAACTACTGTTGGCCAGGACTTCATTACTCAGCTGTCAGTGTTTGGCTGGCTGTAGTCGGACGGACGAAAGCAGCATGTTTAACTGTTTGCTGACGAGTAGATCACATCTACTATACCTCTAGTATCGTCAGCCTCTAGCGGTCACATTAGTGACTGGGCTATCAAAGGAGAAACGAGATCTTTACAGTTTCAACCGATAGCTGCTATAAGCTATGCTATGCGCTGTTTTATTTCGACACATTTGATGTTTTAATAGTTGTACTAGTTTTTATCATGGAGTGTACTAGATGTCTGTAAAATGCAGAGGAATCCATTACAAAATGTATTCACGCAAGAACTCGTGCCACACGTAATAATATAAAATGCAAATTGAATGTGCAGGAAATTAATGTGTGCTTGGTTAAATTGTCTGCAGTCATTATTTTCAGACAATGCATATAAAGTGTGATAGCCTAGTTGATGTTTCTGGATAAAGTGTGAAACACAACAAACCACAGATAATATATTCTACTTACTTGATTGAATCAAACATCTACCTATATTACCTATATTATATCAACGTAACTCTGAACAAGTATTCATATTATCTTCTAATATACAGGGTGTTTCCTGATTAATGTCAATATTTAAGGGTGCGATTTTTAGGAAAACTTCATATGGACGTATGTCCTAAACGTCTTAACTTTTGAGATACAGAGTGGCATACCACATTAGATATTTTAATTTAATTTGGCATACATATACTAATATATCTAGATGCATTATTCAATGTAATACATGTTTTCGCCAGTGGCGTTCGTATGGAATTTATCCTGCCTATGGTCGCCACCGATTTCTCTTAAAATAAGAAGTACTCCTGCAAACCTCGGATATTTTCAATCAAATTTGATTAATTGATTTTTTAACCAAGATGCTTAAAATAATTTAAACCATTTCTCTGTATGGTCATAAGCAATATGGTTAATATACGACAATATCTCCATGCTGAGGAATATAAATTATTTTTAAGGTAAAACAAAACAAAATCAAAAGAGATTAAATATACTTATATAAATGAATAAATACATTTTGACACGTTCACGATCCTGTATCTCAAAAGTTAAGACTTTTATGACACACGTTCATAAAAGTTTTTTTCTTAAAATGGACGCAATAATCGCACCTTTAAATATTGAATTCAATTAAGAAACATCCTGTATTATTATAGTTCGAAACCTAAAACTCTTAATGAACCCATGCAGCAACTGAAACCGTTAAACTTTCATGCCTCAGAACTAGTACTTTGATTATGCAGAAATCCCATTGTAATTAGATAAAATGAAAACCCATTTCTGCTTAAACTCAACTTAGCATGATTTGAATGATATTCAAATTTTGTCCTCACTCAGACTCATCAGTGGCGTAGAAATTTACAACAGCATATCTGGGAGCGTTCAGCCAACGTAAAACAGTTCAGCGGTACAGTGCTTTTACCGAATAGCAGTAGCCAAATATATCTCTAACAGTTCGTAACATCAATCAACCTACTTACTATCTAAAGATAATTGCGCAGCAACTAAATTTAAGGAGCTGCGCATATGGCATCTCTCTCGTGTTTAATCTGCGCAGAAAATT